CAAGAATCGTAAGGCACAGGGCGCCACGGGAATGAGTCCTAAAACCTGGAAGTAAGTTAGCATTTGAGCGCCATGGGGTCTATCGTCTAAAAGCCAACGGGAAATGTGCATTTGCCACAGAGCTTATTTTCTGCAATGATCCAAAATCCAATGCAAAAATCCCATAGGCCAATTTTCAACAGACCCCATGGCGATGCTACTTCTAGGTTGGCCTACAAAAATCCATCATTTGGCTTGTTCTCTATTGTCGCTTGCAAAAAGCAAGATTCACTGCTTTGCCTTTTTGTACAAAATATAAAATAAGAAGAAAGCAGCACTTTATTTATTGTTCCTTTTGGTCTGAATATGTTCTCTTAACTTGAAAAAAAACAAGCACGCAATGTGCAGGATGCGGACAAAGAGTTATCACATCATATCATATGTGCCACAGAGCATTCAACTGCTCAACAGCTCTAGTAATACCATCTGAATTTGGCACTCTGCTCTTTATTGAACTTGCCACTTAAAATTCCTTAAATGTAATCATGTGATGCTTTAATATAAATATTTTCAAAAAAAAAGTTCACTCATGTCTAAACTGATAAATACATGTATAATAACAACCTTGTTGGTGTTCACAAACTTTGCTTAAGCTGTAAAATGATGCACTCTCCTGTATATCGTGAGTTTGGTGTACATTCCGCCATTATTCAAAAGGAGGTTGATGTCAGTTAAGTGCTTGGCTTACTTGTTTTTGAGCACCCTCTATTACATCACACAAGTCACTTCCCAATCGATACAATATTGGTTGCTGCTGCTTTGAACCTTTATGTATAACCATTTAGTGCCATCTAGTGGTATCTTCCAGTGTGACACTGTGGTAAAAAGTCATGATACTAACCAAAAAATCCTTTAGTCATGTTTTCATTTTTGAAAACATTTAAAAGCTGAATCAATAGTTTTTAGGCATTTTTTTGTAAAAAAAATTCAAAATATTTCCTACCCTGCTTGATTAAAATAAAAGATAAAATAATAGCTTAATGATAGGTCAACATAACTAACCAACCTGTGGCTTGAAAAATTAAGTCTTTCATTTGCCTAGAGTAGAAATTAGCTAATAAATGATAATTGTTGCAGACTGGATTTTGGAGCTTAAGTGTCAGAGTGCCAGTACATGATGGGAGAGCTTCACTCCTGAGGCAGCTAACAGAAATAAAAAGGACAAGGCAAAAAAATACAGCACACAAAGCAGCTGTTCCTCCTTTGTCTGTTCAACTTCTGTGTGTGGTTTGAGGGTGCAAGCTTTCAGTTATTATTTTCCAAAAGGGATGGAGTAGAGGGTACCGCCCCTTGACCCCCTGATTTAGTTACAGAAGCATACACACACACACTCACACAGTATCAAACGCACATAAACATTTATTAATTTCTTCAAATACTTTATTAATCCCTGAGTGAAATTCTGTCTAGTCTACACTCCAAGACACCTGCTTCTCGCACACATAGGCCCGAAATACAAACATGAACAAACAGGGCCTTTTGGACATGCAGTAGGGCTGCTACACACCGCTATGCAACGTGCGCCAAAAACCCGGAAATGGCGTGCGCACAAAATGATTCAGATTTATAAAACAGTTCGTACGCACACCTGCATGCAATGTTCCCTTTATAAATCACGATCCACCTGGAAATGTGCGCATGTAGATTAGTCCCATGTTCCGCCCTCTACACGCCCACATTCAACCATAAACGCTCAACACAAAACAGCTTGTGAATGAAAATGCATACAAATGAGGGGGCGGAGCTAAGGTTTCCAGCGCTGGATCCCGGAAGTTTAGACAAAGAAACAAAACTTTCTGACCCAGAAACGGAGGAGGTTGTGAATGAAGTGAAGGATAAAATGGACATATGGATAGTTTACTGCAGCAGGAGGATCACAAACTGAAGAAAAATCAGAGAATGACACCACGAAAACATCCAGCGTTCATCATTACACACGAGTATATCTGCAATGTTTACATGTTTACAGGACCCACACTGACTTCATATTGTCAGAGTGCTCACGTCAGTCAGCAGTCTGTCTCACTCTATCATATTAGTAATCAAAGGTTTGATCAACGAACAAAAACATTTGATTGTTGGCCACATTTTTTCGTGGGAAACTCCGTCTGCTCTGTGACTAATTATGAGGATATATAGGCTTAATGATCCTGTCACAGATGCCCTGACTTAATGTCCACACTTGAATTATTTACAGAGTAAATATGTGCAGCTTATGAAGACATGCTGAGTAACGAGAAGGTGAAATGTGTGAAGCCACCGCCGTGTCTCTGTGCGTCTTGACGAAGGCATCTTTATTAAAACTAAAAACCACACTTGATGATAAATGCACGATATTGAAAGATATTAATGAAAACTGGTGGCTCTATGGTCTTTGTGTAAGTCTAATGTTGAACTCTACATCAGTGATTACATTAGTGTACAAGTCCGGTCCTCTGAGGTCCGTCCGGGATAATGAAGGCGAGACAGCGCTGATGAAATATGTATGGGGCAGACTTTTATTTTTTATTTTATGTTTATATATTGTCATAATGAAAGTTACTTATTGGAAACGGCTCACTACATGCGCGATTATAGCCTAAATAAAACCATCGGTTTGAATGATTATGATGACGTGGATCGGTCAGTAAATTTTGATATTTAGTGAAATAAAATGTGGAAGAGATATCAATATGTATCTGCAGGCTTCAATTCACCACTTCACCGTCTGTGTCGCCAATTTCCCATGCCTCCAAAAAAAATGAACGTACGCCTGGGTCACAGTTTGCTTACCGGTGCGCACATTTTACCGTCACGTTTGTTTTTATAGTTCACAGACTTTGCGTGGGAAAAGGCGTACGCCAGTTTCAGACCCCGTTTTGTGCGTACGCAACGATTATAAATGAGACCCCAGAGCTGTTGGGAGTTCAGTGTACCTCAGCAGTAATCAGCAAGTGGCCTAGCACCTCTCCAGCTAAAGACCAACTTCCATATAATGAGCCGTATCATTCGTGTGACCCTTTGTCAACAGGACAGCGTGGTGATGTGTCCAACATCAAATTCTTATTAAAATGCATGTGTGTTTGTATGAACAAATATGGTAGTGTTTAGTTTATCCGCATTTGCTCCTGCTCTACAACTTAAACTGCAAAGGTAGAACTGTTGGCTCTGTTCACCCTGTCTGCTTTATTGAGGATTTAAAAATAAGGCAACCCCAAAATCATGACGAAAAACACTGCAAATTAAAATGTAATCGATGAGGGAGAAAGGTAGGGTTAAGATCTATCTTGCATTTCTCTTTTTAATTATTCATTCAAAGACAACTGATAAGCCACTGTGACATTACCTATTAGTTTGTGATGTCGGAGTTGTGGCCACACAGTATTAGCTGATTCCATTCATACGCATTCAAACAAATTGAGGTTCAGTGTTTTGCTCAAGGACACCGACATGTAGACTACAGGAGTTGGGAACAAATCATCAACCATCCTGTTGAAAGAAAACCAAGTGAACCACTGAGCTTCAGCCACCCATCAAAGCAAGTAAGAGTAGGGACATCTTTCCCTCTCTGATTTCAAACAATTAAAGCCCCCTAAGGTTTACAGCAATAATACCTTGGCTTCACTTTATAACCAAAGACTACTCCACTACTTTTATAAAGTTTATGGATTAATACCATAAAAAAGTACCACACAATAAATTTCTTTAACAAACAACTTAAGCTTCACTATGCTTATTTCCATGAGTGACAATTTTCAAATACAAAATAGCATTTTATGACAAATTAGATCTCCAAGTCAAGTAAACTGAGAATGTTGGATATAAGCCATACACTTCACAACCAACCTGTGCAGGCCACTCCCAAAATCCATTAACAGCCTATTTATGAGCTGACAATTGAAAGTGAATAGGGAGCTGAGGGTTCATGATGCTACTCAAGGGCAGATCTTTTTTTCTGCTGTGCATTAGAACGCACATCCATACTGACTGCTGACTCTGCATGCATAGCCTAATGCAACACTCCTTTATAATTCATGACATGTCATGCCTCATTGGAGGATATTGCTAAGACTAAAACTCTGCTCGAAGTGCATGGGAACGTTAATGTAAGGTCACATCAGTACTGCTCAAAGTAACAATCACCACCTCACTTACACAAATTTTATAGGGCACAACTGTTTCTCCGTTATGTTTATGTTTGATAGTTTTGAAAGTACCAAATCAGATATTATATCATATTTTCAACCCAAAGCTGCCATGGGCAAAAGAAAAAGAGCAATGGTGGTCAAGTGGGATAGAGGAAGTGAAGAGAGAAATTGCACCACTGAAAACAAAGCTGTGAAGCAGAGTAAGAAGACAATGTTTTCAGATGTTTTTCACAGTGGTTAAACTCTAAAAAATGTATAAACACAATCCATCTCGGTACAAACGTGCATGAAGGAGCTGGATTTTGTTTGTTTGCAGCTGAAGTTGCGCTGCATCCTGCATGCTGCGAGGGTCTATCAATACCACCCAAAGATCCCAGAGACACAATACATACCGTTAGAATTTGTAGTCCTGCAAATACCAACGCTTTTTAAAGTCCTTTTAATGTCTCAAAATGATTCACAAGATCATTGGTCTTTTGCAGACAGACAGAGAGCTAAGGAGAGAGACAACATTGTGACCTGTTACTCCTGAGATGCAGACTTTTCTTTCAATATCTCACAAGTCTTTTCAATTTAGATTCTTGGACTCACAATTTGTTTCAAAATCGGTTTTCGAATCAAACCCATTGCCGATTTGCCGAACATTCCCTTTTCGTTACAGAGGGGTGCTTAGTGCAGGATATGCCTCCAGTACCTTACTTTCATTTTGCAGACGCTGCATATTGAATACATCGGGTCAGGCTTTCTCTTACCCTAGAGTTTGTGGAATCATTGGTGCACTCTAAGGATTGCCTTTAATGGAAGAAAATGCCAAAAAGATGTAGACATATTTACCCAGGACGTTTCCTGCTGGCACCTCTTCCAGCTCCTCTAGCTCTCTGCCCATCAGCAGGTAGAGGCTTTCCACTGAACAACAGGACAGATGAGGCACCTGAAGCACAGAGTCTGAGGCGGTACAACCCTCTGGCAACTGGAAGATAAAGGGAGAAGGATGATGAGCCAAGAGGGTCACACATGTATCACATGATATCTAGATATTACAAGTTTTTGGGATTCAAATGCGTGGACAAAAAGGTTGACATGTGGTTTCCAATGAATTAGTATGAAAATATATGACATCTATAATTTCATAATTTATCCTTTATTAATCCCGCGAGGGGAAATTCATTTTTACACTCTGTTTAATGAACATGCTACACACACACAGGGCAAAATACACACACATGCACAAACAGGATCCTATGGACATGCATTAATGGAGAGATGTCAGAGTGAGGGGGCTGCCGACAGTGGGCACTCCTGAGCTGGTGGGTGGGTTCGGTGCCTTGCTCAACGGCACCTCTCCTGCAACCAGACAAATTTCCGAACTTGGTTTGTCGGGACTTGAACCGGCGACCCTCTGATTCCCAACCCAAGTCTGACTACAGACTGAGCTACTGCTGCCGACCATGCCCACACTATATATCGAAGGTCAAAGTTCTACATGATTGGTTGCTTAGATAAATCACACAGACATATACACTCCTGAAATAACTAGATAATTTGAGGAGGACTGCTTTGGATATTCTCCTGACATGGCGGTGCTATGGCAAGCCCTTTTAACATTAAATGAGTCTGGCTGACATGTAGCAATTTAGTTTTTATTTTACAAGTGGAAATTATAATTCTAGATATCTGTAAAACCATTTTTACATGTTACAAATATATTTCAACATGTCGAAATTACATGTTGAAATGTAATTTAAATATTAATTATGTAATTTAAAGTAAAAACTAAATCGCTGCTTGTCAGCCAGACCCATAATTGACTGATTTGCAGATTTTTTTAATTGAATTACTTGAATCAGTAATTACTTTTTCACTAGGTTCAAGGTTTCTTTAATTGTATCGAAAGGTAAATAGTAAGAATAATGATAACAGATATCTACAATTAAATTTCCACATGTTGAAAAGGGATTACCGTAAAATAAAATAAAAATACAATTAAAATTAAAATCGCACCGGTATATAAGACGCACGCTGTTATGAAGGTCTCTTAGAGAGAGAAAAAAAGTTTGAACTGTCTTCCTGCGTGACGATTTATATTGTGTTTAGCGATGTCTACAACGTGCAGTTTCTGTGCAGCTGTGTCGTTCTTTAAGTTCCGTCTGTTTTCACGTTCGGGAGTTTGCGCTCCTACTAGTTACAGTACGGTAGTTGAGCTCAGAGCCTGCAGGGAAAGTTGTGAGGCACAGACTCCTAGCTTGCCAGTTGCGCTGCCCAACTCCGCTTGTCACTCTTTAACTTTAATATAGGAGTCTTTAAATCTAAAGAACAGTCCACAAGGTTTATTTACGGAACAATAATCCACTGTTTCTGTAAATGCATGATTATGACCTCGTGAGGGAGAAAAGATGTGGAAAAAGTCGCGCAGCCAGACTGGTCTATGTCGCCGTCTTTTCAGTGCACTCAGCTTTCAATACACAATGAATGGGGATGAGTTTTTTAATGGAAAGTATTTACCATTTCACATCGTGTGGTACGCCAGCTGAATTTAATGACCGTGTGCGTGACTTCTTTGGCTATGAGCTGCTCCTCGGTGCTCACACTGCTGTTATTGCATGCCGACGCCGTTTTTGTTGTTGTTGTTGTTGTTGTTGTGGTGGTGTGAATTCTTCTTCTTCCGTTTTAGCGTCTATAGCGATTGGCGGCTAGCTTTCTGGTGCATTACCGCCACCACTGGACTGGAGTGTGGGACAATCTAGTAGTTGTACTTGACGAGTTGAGAACCACTGATCTAGCCTCAGGCTCACATGCTTTTTTTCATTCAGTTGACCAAGTTTCTTTTTTGTTGACTACAGTTGTAATTAATTTGTTTTGCAAGAACAGTTTCAGTAAGAACCTTACATATAAAACAGTAGTGTAAAGGACGATAACGAGGGGACTCACTCACCATGCTCAGGCCCTGGGCAGGGTCATACTTTGGCCCCAGAACAAACACTTTCTGTCCTTTCCTGACCGTCCCACTGTAGACCCGTGCAAACGCTACAAAGGCCTCTTTCTGCTCATCTTCCTCCTCTGGCTTTGAGTCTTGTATTGTCATATTAGCTGACAAAGATAAAGAAAGAGAAGGATACACACAAGTTGTTGAAATCTTCACAAATTTAAATTACGTATAAAAGTAGTACTTTCCTTTATCAGACTACGGTCTTTTAAGAAAGAAAAAATAAATAAATAAATGAAAAATTGGGAGATGAGCTTACCTGTGCTGAGTCCTGAGGGTTTGCCTTCCAGTGATTTAGTCTGTGAGTGGGTAGGTTCTTTGTGGCTCTCTGTTGGTGTCTGATCAGTAACCATCCTTTCAGCATGTCTCTGTCTGGCTATCTCTCTGCGCTGGGCAATTTCCTCCTGTGTCAATGGCCTAAACCAGGCACGTGGAGACATTGACAAAAAAGGGTCTTGAGCATCTGCCCTTTTGCCCTCTGTAGAGAGATTGCTCTTTTTTAAATAGATAGTCTACATTTGGTTAAATAAGAATATCAGGGTGGGACACATGACATGTCTATTGCTGCTACTGTGTACAGTATATTATTTATATATATGCAGGTCACACCTACACATTCACACACTGATGGTCATGATCTCTATGTACTATCATCTATCAGAAGTAACTAATCCCATTCATACACCACCAGCGAAGCAGCGGGAGCAATGTGGGTTAAGTGTCTTGCCCAAGGACACATCGGACTTGTTGCCCAGTTTAGCCTGTGGCATAATAATAATAACAAGCATGACATCAGTTAAAACTAGGGCTGGGCAACGATTAAAAGTTTTAATCGCATTAATCGCATGAGTTCCTGTGATTAATCACGATTAATCGCATTGTTATACGCAAAATCCAATAATGAATTCAAAAGTAGTGTATAGCGCACTTTTATTGTAAATGTATTTCTCAACTTAAACAACGTAATCAAAGCAAATAAATACAAAACTAAAGCTTATTGCCACTGCAAGGGCATAATTTCATCCTGTTTGTTATATGAAAAAAAAAAACTGCCCAGAAAGGTTTTAGGCTAAGCGGTATAATGAAAATGTCAGGACCCCATTTTTAAAGTGGGGGAGAGTGTGACAGGTCAATTGAGAACATTGATGTTTATTGTTTGGTTATCGGGGACCCCACAAACAAATTTTTGTTGTACTTGTCATTTTGAAATTCTTTAGTTTATAATCTTTTTGAATTCATCTTCAAAGTTGCTAATGTTAATGTATTTTTCTGAACTGCAACATTATTCAAGCAGTTGATGTTGACATGTTATTAATTAAATGCGCGGCATAATCTACACCACTAGGTGGAGTCTGTGAGTGAGAAACAGTGACATGCAGGAGTTCAGCGAAGAAGAGTTTTGTTGTTGTTGTGATGCTCCGGAGTTAGCAAGAAAGCTATAGTTATTATTCAGCAGCTGAATAGACTCGTAGGCAGAGTGAATGAAGGTACTGGGTCTTTGTTAAACGCTTAAATAAAGTGAAGACAAGTGAAATTACCTTTCAGCGTCCGCCTGAGTTTCTGGCTGCAACATATTTTGAGTACTTAGCAAGTACTCCGGTGATAAGAAAATTCAACTTCGCAGTTTCCTCTTCCCTGTGAGCGCCGCAGCAGTAAGCAACATACTAGACTCGCTCACAATGGAATTTTACAAAATAAAAGCCAGTGAGTAACAGACTTTTACAATAAGAAAATAAATAATAAAAACTGTGTTAATGCGAGATAAAATAATTGTCAGCGATAATTAATTAATTAGTTAACGCGTTAACGTGCCCAGCCCTAGTTAAAACACATGTTAAGCGAGTGGATCTGTTTTAATAGAGATGCAAATCCATAAAACTAGACCATGTTAGAGCCCAAGACAGAGAGAAACACCCCGTTAATGTTGCTGTCAGCTATCTTCTGAAACTTTAAGAGGGAAATATACAAGTTTATGTGATTGCTGTGCCACTATTCACCTACATTGTAAACACCGCTCTGACACAAGGTTGATCAGTGATTGTGTGAGACGCTGGTTCTGCTCTGAGTGTCACAACAAAACGTGCAGAAAACTGGGGGACTCAATCTGAGCCGTTGTCTGTCAGAAATCACTATTTCACTTTTATTTACCACTGTGGTTTGTAGGGTGAACAATCAGTGTTCCCTGCATGCACACTACAACCAAATGTGTGAATTTAAACTGAAGATGACCCCATTGCAAAAATCGTTTTCATGGCTAAACATGTTTATACTGGTTTGACACTTACCTCTGTTTGTTCTGCGGCAATGCCTTGGTGTTCACAGCAAACATCTTGGACACAAAGATGATGACTGGAGCATTTTCCGCACTTGAGCACTGCAGGAATGCTATAAAATATCAGGAAAAATATTTGTTAAGTATAACGGATCAGGATCAAAACTAAAGCAATTTCTCAAACTGATGCCAGTGCCAAGCACTGTAAGCTGCTTTTATAAGGCAATCAGACAAGTGTTTTCAGAAATAAGCTACGATATGTTATTCTAACCAGATGAGATCTGCGTTTTAATACAATATATTAACCCTCTGACATTTAAAGTTGCCTATAGGAAATAAGTTTGATTGGCTTCGATTCATTCTGTATGGAGAGCAGGGCAGCATTGGCCAAACAATAATTATCCTAAATTAATCCTCCATAATTATTTCATCTGTTGACAGAGGAAATCTTAACAGACAAACCACTCTATTGTATTCAAGTTATTCTAGTTAAACCTGGATCACACATCTGTGACCTGTAATATAATCAGTCTGCAATACGAGTGTTTCCGCTAAAAATTCATTTTCTTAAGCAATACAAATGTTCAACTTTCAGAAAGTATTGGGCTCAGAGCCTTCTATTCTGGCTCTACTCTCCTGTTGGTCAAATTAATTCAGTTTAAAATGTACGTAGGCTGTCAGGTTAAATGGGCATATTGATCAGAGCAATGCGTAACCACATTTAGCACAGGTATGTGGAAATGGGGACCAAAGGCTAGTGATACTAGCACTGCTTATGTTAGCCACATTCATGCATTACCTAGAGTTTTCTTAACTTTACACGGTTAGTCTGACTTTAAATGCGTGTCGACTCGGAACATCCCAAATACAAATACAATCTATTTCAGTTTTTTACAGAAAACCAACAATTTATCATGCAAGTCTTGTAAACTTTTTAAGCTCAATGGTCCCGCAATTGATTTCCACAAAGTAATGTTGTAGATGTAGCCAATAGGAGATATGTAAATGAGGAAAAGCAACATATGAGGTGTGGGCAAACGTGTGTACTGACCTCTTTTGAGTTCCTGCGTCTGTTTCGGCATTAAATCAAACAGCCGCACACCAACACTCATCAGTTTCTCCACCCTCTCTGACACCATGTCTAAGGGGCTAGGAAGCTTTTCACACACCATTGCTGCAGTCTGTGTTAAAGACACCAAATACAAAACCTTCCCAAACAATATCTTCATGTAAGGTAGCTTAAAAGGCAGGACATGAAAGCAGGCATGTTCTATTGTATAGACACATAGTTAATACAAAGGATACATAAGACAGCCTGGGACACTGGTAACCACTGGGCACAGATGGCAGAAAGTAGTACTTTGGGGTCAGAGTGACGAGAGTCTCTGGCCAACACCTTTATTCCTAGTGAAGTCATCACCTTCTCCACCTTCTCCTTGTCTCTATTAACAGAAAAACAACAGATATGAAGAGTCAAACCTTAATAAAATGGCAGATTCAGGGTGATTGTCAGAAAATGTTCCTGGAATTTGTTTTGCTTTTTTCACTCAACAAAGATAGTTAGCTTTAACAAAGTTGATATAAATAAGTAACATCCAAATTAGAGGTGTCAGCATTAACTAGTTTATTGAGATAAAATGAAGTCCTTCTTCCTCAATCTCCCACTATCCCACTTTCCAAGCCCAACACAGTTTGGCAGATGGCTGTTCATCATGAGTCTGGTTTTCTCAAGGTTCCTGCCTCTTAAAGGAAGTTTTTCCATGCCACTTTAATTTTGTGTAGTTGTTGTGAATTGGCCTAATACAAATACATATATTTCATCATGTGCAGGTATATATATAAAGTGTGTATTTCAATACATTTGTGCCGTTAAAGCAGACTGACAGCTTCTACTGACTACTCGATCACAAAGGGATGATGCCTCAAGTGAGGCTATGAAGGAAAGGAAGTTTGGTTTCCTCGTTTCACTCTTCCTGGCTTCTGTCTTGCATCTCTACTGTACATGCTGGTGGTAGGGATTCAAGTAAAGAACAAAAGTGTGGGATGCACTGATGCAACTTCAGAGAACTAACACACAGCTTCAGTCACCTATTCAGATGTGGGCCTGCAGCACATTTTGGTATTTTCTTTGTTCTTACCAAATAACAGGGTACTGGTCTGTTTGTGATATGATAGCATTATTAGCTTGTACTAGTTTGGGCTGCAACGATTTCTTGAATCAATTGAGTAACTCCAATTCTTAAACACTTTTTGATAGTTCAACAAGGGCAGAATCCAGACTTTTTAGACTGGGAAGGCCCAGCCTGGGCCCTGATTTATGCAGGGAGGGCATGATTTTGTGCAAACAAAAAAAGGCTCCTGATTTATATACCCCAGTGTTTCCCATTAATTAACTAAACTGTGGCGGCCCGCCATAGTCTAATCTGTCGCGTCACAGTCTAATCTGTCACGTCACAGACTAATCTGTCGCGCCATAGTCTAATATGTCGCGCCGTAGTCTAATCTGTCCCGTCGTAGTCTAATCTGTCGCGCCATAGTCTAATCTGTCACGGCATAGTCTAATCTGTCGCGTCATAGTCTAATCTGTCCCGTCGTAGTCTAATCTGTCCCGTCGTAGTCTAATCTGTCATAGTCTAATCTGTCCCGTCGTAGTCTAATCTGTCATAGTCTAATCTGTCCCGTCGTAGTCTAATCTGTCATAGTCTAATCTGTCATAGTCTAATCTGTCGCGCCGTAGTCTAATTTGTCGCGCCATAGTCTAATCTGTCACGGCATAGTCTAATCTGTCGTGTCATAGGCTAATCTGTGGCGTCGTAGTCTAATATGTCGCGTCATAGTGTAATCTGTCGCACCATAGTTGAATCTGTCATAGTCTAATCTGTCGCGTCATAGTGTAATCTGTCGCACCATAGTTTAATCTGTCATAGTTTAATCTGTCGCACCATAGTCTAATCTGTCATAGTCTAATCTGTCGCGCCATAGTCTAATTTGCCCTGCTAGCGTCAGGGAGTTATTATCAACTATACAAACTTTTTTTTTTTCCCGAAGTACATTTAAAGTACAGTTTACCCCGTTAAATGTGATGTGTGGCTGCAGTAGCCTACACCGGAATGTGTGAGTTTTTAAACACAGTCAAAGACGTTTGATCCCCCTGTCAGACAAAGCAGCATAACTAGTTGTAAACCTAGATATCAAAATTCTAGCTGAATATTATTTTTGAACCTGCAAAACAACTTCTGAAAGAGCGGAACAAATCCATTTCACCTAAAGACGCCGCGCAGCTCTGCTGCTCTGCTGCTCACCTGTTGTTTTGAAAAACTGCACTTAAAATTTACTTATAAGTCTAAACATTAGATCAGACCTTTTTTGAAGAGGTTCTCTTCCTCATTATGTCAAAACGTGCATTTAAAGATAAAGGTGGGTGCGCGGACCACACTTTAGAGGCAGAGAGAGAGAGCTATACGGGCAAGCGAGAGTCCGGAACGTGCCATTGCGAATGTCAGTGGACGGACAAGAAACAAAAAGTTAAATTGATCATCTGCTCTACACTTAACCAGTCTGTGAACTACATTGCAGACTATCTCTACATGTACATGGGGCACACAGACCTTTGGATCTGCCACAGGCAGACAAATGGTGTGTGTTTCTCCTCCTGTGTTGAACCTTTTTCTCCTCTGCTGATGGGCATCTCACGTCTGCATTGCCAACATGTTAGCTTGTTGTGTGTGTGGCCGTCCCTATCAATAGCTTTACATTGTAAGTTAAAATTAATACATTATATAGGTAGCCTACAGTATAGGTAAAAAGTATAAGTGTTTGTGTGTTTAGTTTATTATACGAGAGAAAGATGTTTTTAAGTCACTGTGTGTTCTCTTCTCAGGACGTTGTAGCCTTTAGCTGTGAGCTTTGTTCAGGGTTAGTTTTGTTTCTGTCCTTTCTATTTTAGACAAGTTGTGTTAAGTTGCTATTGCTGTAAACGCCCCATTTCCTGATATGGGTGTTTCACAATAAAAGCACTTCAACTTCAGATAGGCCTGGGACTTTTATTTTTGAAAAACTTGTCAGAAATAGAATGTGTTTATCGTCGAACGAACGCAGCTTTAGCGGAGGTGCACTTAGTGGTGATACTGTCAGGAGTCTACTGTGTTTACAGCCGCTCACTTTATCACTATTTTGATCAATATTCTTATAGTTATCCTGGACTTAAGACAGCGAGGCATCAGTTTAAACACACCTTTAGCTGTAATGAAGATGCTATCCCGAGCTGCGGTTGGCTAAAGAGACACCGAGTCAAGCCGTTTCAGCCTGCAGCGGAGCACTGTGGTCTGAGCGTGGAGAACCAGCTGACTCTGCTCATAAAGTCAGCAAGCACAGGAGCGGGATTCAATTCACGTTGTTTTCTGTCACAAATCCCTCTGTTAGCCTACGTTACTTTCATTACACACCACTGTGTGTGTTTAGGTAAAACAAACTCACTCAACGCTGCGCAAAACACCCGCATTTAGCGGTTAGCAGATGCTTTTTTCTAACCCTTGTCATAATCGATTACGTCCTGTCCCTGCATCGATGCATTAATCGTCTAGTCTGCATCGCGATGCATCGATTAAATGATTAATTTCAACAGAAACTAATAAACTATATATATAAGTAAACTTACCTTCTGATGACAACTGCATCATATAAACTCCAAATGTTATCGAGCACAAGCTGCACAAATAGTGGCTTCTTTCCTTTGGCCTGCAGCAAAGAGAGAAACAAAGAGACCACATTAATGATTTAAGTTTAATACCACAAAGACAAGAAGGATACATTTTTAAACTCATGGCTTAACTCAGCTGGACAAAGGGATGTTTACAATTTGCTCATTTTAATGTTGCTATGTAAAATGGCTGAAAAACCAACATCCATAAACAAGTGTGTGTTTCAGTGTGACATTCCTTTGTACTCTTGCACAGTCTTATTGTTAGTAGGGATGTGTGTGATGAACCAGCTAACCGATTAAAGTTGGCACCGTCCCTAGTTGACACCAGAATTACAAGTCAGTTAAACTTATTTTAATGAACCTTTTTTTATTCAGCCCGCAGTACCATCCAAGCGCTCTGTCTAAACTTTAATGCAGCAGTCCGCCAGTAGTTGGAGCTATAACTCTGCTTAATATCCATACTGCCATAATGCTCTTCTACCAATTTTTTTTATAAAATGTATTATTAAAACAATAAGAAACTGGACTTAATCAGCTCCATGTGGAGTTCCAACTCCAACTGAGTGAATACAATAAATCGACTTTTAAACTCACATGACGGTACATTCTTCTAACTCTGTTACTGACTTATGCGCCATGCAGTGTTGTAGTCAAACCACACTAAGACGTACCTGAGACCAGAGTGCTCAGATACAAGACCGAGACATTTAGAGATTGAGACTGAGTCAAGACCAAGACCATAAATATCGATGAAAAATCATCATCTTGTGTCCAGGGGTGTGTCACTCTCTTAGACCGTAACACAGGGCTGCAGCCGTAATTAGGGGAAAAAATCTAATTATGAATGAATTAAAGTTATCATTTTAGAAAGGGTCGTTTTTCATCACAGTGATGACATGGTGGTCTTACCAGTCTTGATTAAAAAGTCCACACCTTTTCCACACAATTTATGAAACCGTGCCAACACAAAGTGGAGGGGAATAAAACATCCAAGACACTACTTGAAGTTCACTATGATTGGTTTATCTGTGTGTCTGTGGGTTAAGAATGAAACAGACAGTCAAATAGTGTGATTTGGCTGACATTTTTTGTGTATGGGCATAGAACTGCAATGGATAGAATGTGAACTGTAGCCCAATACTACAAAATCTCTGCTTTGGCAGATCATTCCAATCCTTCACGATCTGAGGTCATTCTTAAGCACACTTCACAAGGGAAAGTAAAATGAATGTCAAATTATATTTAACAAAACATTTGTAATACAAAGTGATCAAGGAGTAACACATGAGCTATATAAAGAGATTATGAGATTATTATTATGAGATGATTTCCTATTAGATATAGTCCTGGATCAGCTTGCTGCACAGTCTACTGGGCAACTTCTATATCATCTCAGGTATTGGAGGTCATTCTACTCGTTATCAACATGGGGTCCATACACTTTTAATGAGTCTTTGTTCTTTCATATGAACAATGAACCCACATTGAGCTGCCCCACATGAGCACATTTTTAGATAACAAGTACCAAGTACAGATTTTTTACAAAAGTAACAAGACCCCTATTATAGTATTCTAGAAATGTTAAAATCCCTGTGGTTACATTACCTGAGCTCCTTTCATGATCTTTTTTGCTTTTGCATTCAGGTAGAAATCCCCCCACAGGGTTCTGAGCAGCACCTCTGCCTTTATTCCCATTTTCTGGCTGTAGATTTCAGCAAATTGCTGGATGCTACAAAACACAAAATCAAGTTTTACATTACAGTCTTACACTCAGATTTTTGAGAGGTTCACAGACAGGAGAAACGCATCGATCTTGAATGAAAGTATTGATTAGCAAATGCTGGCTTATTACCAGAATTGACTAGATCAGCGATAATTGCTCACAGATTTGAATAGGACCAAGAACACAATGACATTAGAGTCTTGGGTTCAGAGGTGGAAAAAACTTTAGGGACTTCATTTGTTTATTTATTGTGATCACAACGATCAAGCTACCTTCAGAAGTAGGTCTTTATTACCTCATGATTTACTTTAGTACAGTGAAATGCCAGTTCAGTGTTACACTTTGTCACTCTGTTTGAATGATTGACTGTATACGGAATGGACAGAGCTCCCCCTGCTGACTGGCTGCTGTATAGGTCATAAACCCCTCCTCCTTTATGTTGACAGACAGAGCATGGGTCAAACTATAAAACTTAAATGAACGTTGCATCAATTCTTCTGAAACCTGCATTTTTCATGATTGTTACTATATAAGATGCTAGAAATATTACCAAACATAAAACATCATGATTAGATGTTGATAAATATGGCTGTGTGCACCTGATTAGCAGAGAGAATATGTAAAACCCACCAACACAAGTGTCTCTGAACTTCCATAACCATGAATGTTTGCTTTAAACCGAGACAGGAATCTGTTCCACTGTGGACAATATACCCGCCATTTTATGTGTGTGTTTTAATTAGCAGAAGCGGTGGCGCTTCAATGCTGTGGCCCTTCTAGCGGATCCCTACTGTGTAGACTCTGGTTGTAATTTTGAAATATGTCAGTGCCCTTCATGGGGATATTTTGGTTTCATCCTGGTCAACGGAAGTAGGCTGATGTACACTGTCCATTTGTACATACAGTCTATGGCTTGAATGTAGAAAAAGTATTGTAAAGAAAACAGAAAAACTGTCAACTACACTCAAATAAGCTTCAGCAAAATGATCACACTTTGAAATTCCTGAAAAGGTCCTAAATGGAAACAAAATGCTTAAAGGTTTTGTGTTTTCTATACATAGTCTGAGCATTTGCTCAGTAGCAAAATACATAGGTAGATATTTATAGAGAGATGTCCCCATAAACATCCATCATGTAAATGCAATGATGGATTGGTTGAGGCATGCCAAATCATTGATGAAGAAAGTCAATGGAGTGAATGCAAAAATCAAAAAGGGAGAAAGGAAAGAGGATAGGCTCAACATTACACAAGTGAAAATGTGTGTGCAGGACTCTTAAAGGAAAGCAAGGGAAACAGGTAGGTGAACGGGGCGCTGTTGAGCTGGCAATGGAGTAGGACGTGTTAAGTTTGGGCTCTCGTCGGCCTCCGTTTTATTAACAAGTTAACAGTTAACAAGCGCTTTAAACTATAAAACAATAAGAAATCTGCCCCGGACATATTCCTAAAGTCAAACATTATTGTTTTGTCAGGTCGATGGCGATAAATCTTCGCAAGTATAAGTATAACGGACCATCCAGTGTTAGGCCCAAAACGACCTCGGCATCAAGTCCCACCGTCACCCTGGCTCGAACGACCCCGCCCCTGGCAAGACAGATGGACGCCGAAGTATTGAAGTCAGAAATTCTTCTCTCACTTAAAGCGGACATCTCGGCCGTGATAAAATCAGAAATGAAGAATGCACTCGCCGACGACTTTGACGCTCTCAAAAGTGAGTTAAAAGCGGTAAGAACGGAGATAATAAATAATACGGCGGCGATACTTACTGAGATTGACCAAATGAAGGCTACAATCAAAGAAGTGGAAGGTTGGCTATCAACGTGGTCTGATGAGGTGGCAACTTTACGGTCTACAGTGACTGACTTGAAAGCAGAGATGACGGGGCTCAGAGAGAAATGTGAGGACATGGAGGGACAGATGTGGAGATGCAACATCAGGATATTGGGGGTGGCTCAGACGACTGGATCAAGCTCTACATCTGAAGCTGCCGAGGGAAGCATTACAGCTGGACAAAGATGTGCTCGTAGACCACTCACATAGAAGCCTGGCCCCAAAAAGGCCAGCTAAACTCCACTACTACTAACTGTGTCGAGGTGCTGAGCCGCGCGTACTCTAGAGCTCCACTCCGGGCCAACGGGGAAACGGTTGCCATATATCCCGACTACACTGCCAGCGTCGCCAAGGCCAGGAGTGCGTTCACGGAGGTTAGGAAGCTTCTGCGCAACCGTCAGGTTGTTTCCAGCCCGATTACGCATAACACACAACGGAGAAGACAGGGAATTCACGGACGCAGACAAGGCAATGGGATACCTTAAGAAGAAAATACTTCCCACAACAGAGGTTAGAGATTGATTGAAAGACTGAACTTTGTGCCCTTAAGTGCTTATACGCTGTTTATGAGAGGCGGGGAGGTGGAATTGTTTTCTTCTGCTGTTAACGCTTCATCTCCTCTGCTTCTATTGAACCGTTTTCTTTCGGTTTTCTTTTTATTTTATTAAAATGTTTTGATATATGGGGCAGGTTGTCCCCAGTCAGGGACCAGTGATTATCTGTTTCATTTTGTGGTCAACTTTGAAATAGTATTTATTTGTGCCTTTGATCACTGCTGTTGTTTACTAAAGGCTGTGTCCCCTATATATACAGTATGTATGTATATATGGTAAATGGTAAATGGACTTGAGCTTATATAGCACTTTTCTAGTCTTCCGCCTACTCAAATCGCTTTTACACTGCAGGTCACACCCACCCATTCATACCCTTTCACACACTGATGATAGTGGTCGCTTTGTAGTATCATCCATCAGAAGTAACTAATCCCATTTATACACCACCACCGAAGCAGCAGGAGCAACTCGGGGTTAAGTGTCTTGCCCAAGGACACATCGGACATTCAACATTTGGCCAACTGGGGATCGAACCCTTGACCTTCTGGTTGAGAAGCCACGACTCTACCAACTTTCCCCCTGCCTATGCAGCAGTATTTCTTTGACAATGTTACCTTTATTATGCTATAGGTTTAGACATATGTGTTGACATGTTTATATACAGCGTTGGGCACCCTCAATCGCAGGTTTTTGATGCCATGTTATATTTCGAGACCAACTCTGACGGGGTGATATGGTTCAATCATATTATCACTGTTTCTGTCATTATTACCTGTAATGTTTCATTGTGTTCAGTTTAATGATGTATAAGAATTAATTTTTTACATGACATATTATGATGCGCTATTAGAAGTATTTTATTTCACTTTTCCCTCGTATAGGAGGTTCGGCAGGAGCCTGAATGGTTGGCTCTAGAGTTCTCAAACACTAAATGTGTGGATTTGTTTTGGTTGGGTACAATGTTCACCTTGTTATCTGTAGGTGTGTGGGGGTGGAGGGGGTTACCAGACTCACTCATTTACCAGATGTATGTCTTCATTTTCATTTGCGGTGTTGTTATAGTCTTTATAGGTTCCAGATGTACAACCTGCCTCGCCTACCATGACTGACACCAACACTCCCAGAAGGTTGGATGGTTGATCGGCTAACTTTGTAATTTGGAATGTTAAGTCACTTCATCCAGTGAAGCGTAAAAAGGTATTTACTCACTTAAAAGGTGGATATAGCATTTCTTCAGGAGACCCACCTACATACATTAGATCAGCCCCTACTGAGAGGGGGATGGGCAGGACAGATATACCACTCCAATTTCCACTCGAACGCTAGAGGGACAGCCATACAGATTGAGAAGAATACACCATTTACGATGACAAGCATAGAGGCTGACCCCGCAGGGCGCTATGTCATTGTGGTGGGGCAGCTATATTCGTTTCCAGTCATTCTGGCCAGTATCTATGCGCCGAACTGGGATAATCCCATGTTCTTTACTAATCTTTTCTCCCGCTTACCAAATATAGCTTTGCACCACCTTGTTCTTGGTGGGGACATGAATTGTATACTATCCCCCGTCTTAGACCATAGCTTGCTCAAAAAGACCTCCCTATCTAAATCAGTGCGTTCAATTCAGCTCTTTCTTAAATCATATGGCATAGCTGATGTATGGCAATTTCATAATCCTACTTCCAGACAATACTCTTTCTTCTCCCCAGTCCACAAGACTTAATCACATATAGACAACTTCTTCTTGGATAAAAGACTCCTTCCTCTAGTTACAGAGTGCAATTATGGGTCTATAGTTATTTCAGATCATGGCCCCCTGAGTTTTAAAATGAATATTCCCAATACACAGTCCAGCTATCGCCCTTGGAGACTTAACCCTCTGCTTTTGTCAGAGGAAGCATTTACTAATTTCATCGCCTCTGAGTTTAAATTATTCCTAGACATTAATCAAACTCCTGGAATGTACCCTTTAACTATATGGGAGTCGCTGAAGGGATACCTACGGGGCCAGGTCATCTCATATTGTGCAAATAAAAACAAAGCAAGCACAGCGCGTCTTAAAAAGTTGGCAGATGAGATACTGGAACTGGATAAATTGCATAGTCTATCATCCTTTGCAGACACAATGAAAAACGTATGTCACTACAAGTTGAGTTTGATCTCTTGTTAACACGTCAGGCTGAATACCTAATATCTATGTCTCGACACGGCTACTATGAACATGGTTGGAAAAGGCTGGACGAATACTTGCTCACCAGCTGCGACAAAGGACTGCCAATCAGACCATCCCTGAAATTAATGATGACAAAGGTGCAAAAACCACAGATAAAAATCAATTACTGTTTTCAAATGTACTATCAGTCATTATACACCTCTGATTCATCAATAAAACCTTCCATGCTGGAAGATTTTTTTAAGACCTTGCACGTCCCATCTTTAGACCTGGAGGTGGCTGCTGAGTTGGAGAGGGGCCTTTCAGCCGCAGAGATAGCATTGGCAATCAGCTCTATGCAAAGTAGCAAAGCACTGGGACCGGATGGTTACCCAGCGGACTTTTATAAAAAGTTTTCAGTCCAACTCTCACCTATATTACTGTCAGTCTTCAAAGAATCATTCTCATTAAAATCCCTGCCTCCAAACATGCGCCAGTTAGTTATTTCTTTAATTCTCAAAAAACACAAGTGCAGCTCATTCCGTCCAATTTCACTGTTGAACACAGACGCCAAAATCCTTGCGAAAGTCCTGATCCGCTGCTTGGAAGGCGTTCTTCCTTCCATCATATCTCCAGACCAAACGGGTTTTATTAAAAATCGTTATTCCTTTTCTAACATCAGAGGCCTGTTGAATATTCTTCATGGCCCCTCTCAACCTGTTCAGTCAGGGGTCGTGCTTTCACTTGATGCTAAAAAGGCATTCGACCGGGTGGAGTGGGGCTACCTTTTTAGAGCACTGGAGAGGTTTGGATTTGGCCCAAGGCTCATGCACATGGATCAGGATTTTGTATGCATCTCCGATGGCAGCCGTACGCACCAACAATGATCTGTCTACCTACTTTGAGCTCCAACGCGGCACAAGACAGGGATGTCCTTTGTCCCCACTTTTATTTGCGGTCGCTATGGAACCCCTTGCTTTAGCTCTGAGGCAAAATACTGATATCAAGGGAATTCAGCGTGCAGGTTCAGGGCATAAAGTCTCGCTCTATGCAGACGATATGTTACTGTACATATTGCAAACCCCTCTCGAGTCTCCCTAAATTAATGATATTACTTTGGCAAAATCTCTGGCTATAAAGTAAATGTTCAGTAAAGCGAGCTGACGCCTATTGGCGATGGTGCTGACCAAAGATCCTTGGGCTCATTTCCTTTTAAAATTAGCCCTAAGAAATTCAAATACCTTGGGATATGGGTTACTCATAAACATTATAAACCCTTACTGTCTACCCTGAAGCAGGATATTGAATGCTGGGACCCATTGCCTCTCTCCTTGGGCGGAAGAATTAATTCGATAAAGATGAACGTTCTGCCTAAATTTCTATATTCCAGTGCCTTCCGGTCTTCTTAACAAAATCCTTCTTTTCCAAATTAAATAATCAGATATTGACTTTTATCTGGAACAAAAAACCACCCCGGATCAAAAGAAGCGTACTGCAGATGCCTCGTTTGATGGGAGGGATTGCGCTTCCAAACTTTATGTACTATTATTGGGCGGACATAAGAGCATTGATATACTGGGTGAGGAATGATGTAACTGTACCCAAGTGGACTGCTTTGGAGGGGGCGTCTATTGGATCCACTTCTCTGGAAGCTTTATTGTGTGCTAAATTGCTATTTACACAACCCATCTCAAGCTTTACTTCTAACCCGGTTATAATACACTCAATTAAAATCTGGAACCAGTTCAGAAGATAATTTTCCCTTGGGGAAATGTCACAGGCTGCACCAATAGCAAAGAACCACATGTTTGTCCCGTCAGTGATGGATGAGACTTTCGACTCCTGGTCTAGAAGGGGTGTGGTCAGATCAACGCCGACATAGATCCCACATGTGAGCGATGCAAGCAGGCCCCAGCCACTCTGTTACACATGTTTTGGACATGTCCGAAACTTCTTACATTCTGGCAAACCATTTTTGAGACTTTCTCTAAGATATTTGGGAAAACAGTACAACCATCTCCATTTATTGCACTCTTTGGGGTGGCCCTAGTAGACGCCCCTCTTAATAGATTTGAAATCAACATGCTGGCCTTTTGTACTCTCCTTGCCAGGAGACTGATACTGTTTAAATGGAAAGACCCTATCCCACCGACCTATAGTCATTGGCTCAAAGAAGTCATGTACCATCTTAAATTAGAGAAAATTAGATACACTATCAGAGGGTCTATTATGAAATTTCATAATATCTAGCAATCTTTCTTGATCTTTGTCTATTGGAGGCTGACAACATAGCATAATGGAACAATTTTTTTTTTTCTTTCTGTGATTTATTTCTATATGTATTATTTATTTACCTTTTACGAATGTCTGGCTATATACAATGTATCGTTTATCTCCTTTTGATAGATATCTGGCTATGTACAATGTTTATGTGTGTGTGTCTGGTTTCTGGGGGGGTGAGGATTTATTTTAGTTAGTTTTTTATTTTGTTGTTTTTCTCCTGTTCGGTTGGTCCTTTTGGGCCTGTGATATAATGTTGAAAATGAAAATAAAAAGACCCTGATAAAAAAAGAAAATTCTAGGTGAACAATCTAAAAATAAGAAAAAGTTAAAAGGAAAAACTTTACAGTAGTTCAAATCTTAATAAAATATGTATACTGTGTATATTATACCTATATTTCAAAGACAGATTGCATCAAACACAGAGCTGGACTAGGATTCACATTATTTTATTCAACTGTCTATGGAATGACAGACGATTCCAAGGCAACTGATTTTGAAAAGCCTGAATGGGTAGTTTGTGACACAAGTGCTTCAAGAGGGTTAGGTCGGTACATGACTGTGTGCTACGCATGGAACGGGAAAATAAAGAGGGCGCAGCAGAGAGCTCTGGATGTATACAAATACAGGATGTAAACAGACATGGCAACACTTGAGGAGGTACCATTATGTGGCGGGGTTTAAGCCTCTTGACCAACCATTGCATCTCGCCCACCTGTCAATCATGTCAGCTATGTGCCTAAATATGGATAACACGCATCATTTTCTAAATCAATACGGTGCCATGTGTGCCAGTGATGACAATAACTATTCACACCTATTTCGTTTTTTGGTACCAGGCTGTAAACATGTTTATTTATGCTGTAAAAACAGCTTTTTTTGCCAGACATGTGTATGTTACTTCCAGGTGTTCCTGGAGCCTCAAGTGGTCACTCTAGGAACTGCAGGTTTTGCACTTCTGCATTGGCTTCATTTTTTAAGACCAGAGGTTGCCGCCTGGTCAGAACACCATTGGCACCGTCTGCACTCAGTTTCTCTTTCCTCTCTCCATGGTTGCAACCGTCCCGTTGTTTCAGTTTAATGTGTAACCCTGTTAATTGGTGGCTTTCAGCCAAAAGCGTCTCCAATACATTCAGAACTCTGCTGCTCGTCTCCTCACACACTCCCGCACCAGAGACCACATCATCCCCGTTCTTCATGACCTCCACTGGCTCCCCATCCCCCAGCATATCAACTTTAAGCTCCTCATCATCACAACCAGGCCCCTCCCCATACCTGTCTGAGCTCCTCCACCAGCACACTCCCACCCACACTCTCAGGTCTGCTGATGCAAACCTCCTGTCTCCCACCCTGCAGGACAAACTTTCGGTCCTGCAGGGACCCCACACACACACACACACACACACACACACACACACACACACACACACACACACACACACACACACACACACACACACACACACACACACACACACACACACACACACACACACACACACACACACACACACACACACACACACACACACACACACACACACACACACACACACACACCTCCTTCAAGAAATCCCTCAAAATTCACCTCTTCATCAATCAATCAATTTTTATTTGTATAGCGTCAACTCATAACAAGTGTTAAGCGAGAGACACTTTTCAAAAAGCAGGTAAAAGACCTTACTTATTGCTATGTTACAAAAAGCAGGTAAAAGACCTTACTCATTGTTATGTTACAAAAAGCAGATAAAAGACCTTACTCATTGTTATGTTACAAAAAGAAGGTAAAAGACCTTACTTATTGCTATATTACAAAGACAAGGCGTGTCCATCATTAGCAATTTAGCAAAGCAGCAAAAGTTACAGTGGTAAGAAAAAACTGCCTCATTAAAAGGCAGAAATCTTCGACTGGAACACCGGCTCATGACAAAACAGCCTTCACAGGACTAGACTGCACCGGGCTTGGAAGGGGATAGGGGGAGAGGTGGGATAAGATGCAGGAAGAGGGATAGGGAGCAAGGGGGTGGGGGGAGGCAAGCCGTCCATCAACAATCCAGGTGCCTACATTCATCACTGCCTACAACCACTAACTCCCCCCCCCCATTACTTCTTGGTTGGACTGTCCTTGTCGTTTTTTGTTTTATTGTTTTATGTTTTTGTCAAAGCTTCTTTGAGTTTTTAGAAACGCGCTATATAAAACTAATGTATTATTATTATTATTAGATGTTGTATTTACTTACAGCAGCCGTTGAAACCAGAAGAGTCCTTGCAAATGCCTTTATGTTTAATTTACGAGGGGTGTTTAATAAACAAAGGGGTAGCCATCATGCGCACGCATACGTTTAGTGAAAAGCAATTATATATCTAGTCTCAAACTGTTGGTTAACAATATGTTATTTTATAATATGACCATTCACTGGGCATTTAACATTAGGTTTTGCATCTTGGATATTCCCAAACACCTGTCCCAGAATGCATTAATACATACACTACTGATAACCCAGTGTAAAGGACAACAAACTCACCTGAAGCCCCATCCATCTATTGCACTGGCAAAGACTACATTTCCTTGGTCAGGAGAAAAGTAGAGAAGGGAGTCATCAGCCTCCTCCAGCCCGGCGCTCCAATCATATAGCTGATCTCCACTCAACATCTCTTTTTCTATCTCCTCCTCCTTCTCTTTCTCTGCTCGCTCCTCCAGCACTCTGGATGTGAACAACGCCCCTGTCACTGCATTCACCTTCAAGGTAAAACATGCACATCAACATAGAGTTACAGTGGTGTTAAGATAACCTTTTCTCTTTACCTGTTCCAAGATCTTCTGAAGGTGGCTGTAAGCTTCCTGAGAGGTGAGTTTCAGCTCCATGATAAGTCGGTCTATCTTATTGATAACCAGGACTGGCCTGATGTTCTCCAGCCACGCCTGACGGAGCACAACCTGGGTCTACACACAAGCAAAATATGACATCATATTTTTACATGTTTGATATAATGATCAGTTAAGTACAGTGAACTGAACACAGTAGTTTAACAAGCGGATTCCCATGTTTAATATGTTGTGAATGTTTATCTCATACAACCTAGGGCTAAACGATATATTGCTTGCACTACAAAATATGGACTTGTGATGCCAAAGAGTGTGTGATGTCACCTTCAGTGGTCACTAAACATGACAGCTGTGCATGCAAATTCTGTGTCCCTGCATGTAAAATGTAGGCATATTTGAGACGCTGCTGCCGTTACATACTACTGCATGGCGTTTTCAGGCTGAGGTTTTTCTCTGTGTATTTAAATTATTGCAATCAAATTATAAAAATGTTACAAATATTTAAGCTGTATTATCTTGAACACATTTTATTGTTCTTTTAATGTTTAACAATAATTTGCAGCTTCTTTGAGCACAGCAGAGTAGATCCTGAAATAGAATATAACCTTATAAGATGGATAAATGGATAAAAAGCTGTTACTCCACTACAAGGTTAAAGTACATCAGTATGATGTGAAAGTAGTCATACAGTACATGTGACTACATCAATATGACTATTTATTTTATAGGCGTATTCATTTCAATATTAGATTTTATGCTTTGGGTGTTTATGGTTTTTCAAGTGTTTATGAGTTTATAAGAACAGTGTATTCAACCTGTAGTCTTCAAACCAATTTCTGATACCTCTGTTAGGCTAATTGAATTTATCTAAAAATAAAAAAAAGTTTTGACTTAATTACTAAAAGTAATGACTTTTTATTGACGTAAACTGGACTAAAATGTTAGGAGTTGTCATTGACTAAAACTAGACTAACTATAAAGGTAAAAAATGACAAGACAAAGGATAAATCTAAAATAGCTTCCAAAATAAACACAATCATAAAGATATCTCATCTTAGAGAATGAGACATTTAGTCAAAGGGGATATTTACCTGTGGACACAAGCCCTCGACAGCATCAACAACAACAATAGCACCATCACACAGCCGGACAGCAGTGGAAACTTCTGAGGAGAAGTCGACATGACCAGGAGAGTCGATAAGATTTAGTAAGTACTCCTGATCCCCTGAGAACGAGCACGAGGGAAAAATTTAAGAAATGTCACCTCTGGGTAATTTATAATGTAACCATCAGTAAATACAATTAGATGTCTGGATGTGTGGAGATGGTCTGGGCCATTAAGCAAACAGACAGCAAACATGACAAACAGGAGGGGTTTTTTTTAACGAGACAATTGTGCTTTTTCTGTTTAACTCCATGAAGGAATCATCGTTATCATCAGCTAAACTTTTTTTTCACATCAGTCAAGACAGGAGACACAGGTAAAAAGTTTGGACAGAACTGAAGGCTGTCAGGATGAGCATGTAGCTGTGTGCCTGGGGTTAAGTCCAGTAGTTCTGACAAAGTCCTGGCAACTAAGACGAAAAAAAATACCATTCCTTTCACCTCTCTCTAAAATCCTGCATTTAACCTCTCTCTTTGTGGAGAGCCTGTGTGCTGATCTAACATAATGCAGGAGCAGATTGTGACCTTGGCAACTTGTATTTTTTACGATGGTACTTCCTGCTGAGATGACAGTTGAAAGTGCTACGTTTGATTAAGTTTCGTATCATACACGCTTTCTTTGCTGAACATATATCCTTTTTGTTATGACTGGATGAAAATATGTATTTGACATATTTCATTTATGAAAATCTCATAAATTTTCAAATTTCAAAATTGTCCCCCTTCACCCCAAAATGTCTCAGGAGCCGGAGGAAACCTGCTGTTGGCTGGATGTGGCCTGTGGGCCGTAAATTTGACACTCCTAAATTAGAGCATAATAAAGGATAGGGTCATAATCCAGAGTCATACTTAATGTCAGTATATAAAATAAATAGTATTATTAAATATACCATTTCATCAACAAATAAGTTCTGCAGTTACTTTGAAGGCTAAAACCAGTAGCCTTACCTTTTTTATAATGCAGAGAGATAGCACTGGACTTCATGGTGATCCCTCTGATCTGTTCATCTTCCCTGCTGTCCAGATACCTTAACTGACACATCAACACATCACTAAAATGCACACATCATGAAAAAACTACAAAAAAATTAACAACACAACTGTCAAAAACATCTAGTCTTTATCAAATAAAGTAACTTACTTTACCAGCCAGTCGACTTGATATGATACCATTACTTGCTACCAAGCAATCAGCCAGCGTAGTTTTACCTGTAAAGATGCAGATGGGGCCAAATGATTTCCTACCCTTCAGGTTTCATCTAAAACAGTCTACTGACTGTATGAGAAACACTGAACCCTTGTAAGTCAGCAATGTCTGATTCAACAACTGATGCTGCATCTGATGATATGGTCATTTATAGTTCAAGCTATTCATAGGAATATATAATGTGTTGTATATGTGTTGAATTTAAACATACAAAATCACGATCCATAAATAAAGACCAGAATCAGAATCGTTTTTTATTGCCAAGTACATTTACACATACAAGGAATTTGTCTTGGTGCTAAAAACAATTAACAAAGGAAATAAAGCAAAATAGCAAGAACGTTTTTATGCTTCATATTAAAGCTCACTGGACTTTTAATACTGCACCATTTATACATTTTGTTTGTATATTTCTTATTCTCTATATATACTTGTAATTACTTCTTACATTTTATTTAAGTTCTTGCTGTTTTGCTTTATTTCCTTTTTGCACCAATACACCTAGACAGATTCCTTGTATGTGTAAATGTATTTGGCAATAAAAATCGATTGTGATTTTGGTCTTTATTTGAGTTATAGATACACAGTAGGACTATTAAACAAAACAATATGACGCCCACCAGGCTTGTTAACTCACCATGATCAACATGTGCAAGAATGCAAAGGTTTCTGGTGTTTGCTGGGCTTTTTTGCAGTGCAATAATCTTATCCACGCTGGTGTGTCCCATGGTGAGCACCTAGGTCAAAGGGCAATAAGAAACACATTGTATAGTGATCAGCTTTGGACTGCACGTCACGTTACGGTGTTGTGACGCAGTCTGTCAAAACACAACTTTCTCTCACCGTACGTAAACTAGGTTTGGCAGTGAAGTGGGAGCAACACTGTATAGATCACTATAGTGCAACAACGACAACACAGTTATATGTTGACACCGGACTAATGCCACTGCTACCGCGGTTATAGCCTAAAAGTCTTAAAAGTGATATACGTATAAGTTTTATATTTAAGCAATATGGAAACGTTGATGCATCAATTTAAGCACAAAATATTCCCAGAATGAGCGCATATTATGAACACATGTGGTCATTTTCAACTCACGGCGATTCCCCGGAAGTTGATGATAACCGTAAACCACGCCCATTAGCTTCTTCTTCTTTTAGTGTCATGACTTAAAGACCGCCACCTACTGTACCGGAATATGTAGCATCAGCTACGTGAAACTACTTTACAACAAAATAATAATAATAGAAATGAATTAAAAACCAAAATACACATCTTAATCATATTATATAACCCTTTTTACAATGGAACAGTAAGCCATGTTTTTTAAATTCCACACATTCATCTGTTTCACTTTTGCCTAAAAAAAACAATGCTTTATTTAACCCTGTATGGTCAAACCTCAGTCTAGTTGAAACGATCTCCTCCCTTATTTTTTTTCTATTTACACCGTGTGCATTTATAGATGTATGTTTACTGTAATATTTCCTTTCTTGCTATTTCTTTATCATTTCTTTTTATAATCAATGCTTTAGTTTGCTCTACCAAAGGGTATATTTATAGTATCTTTGATCTTGGTTGAATTTTTAGTTATTTTGTCTGCTCTCTCATTTACTTCTACAACCTACATGAGCAGGTACCAGGTACCTTCTTCTGCGTGGTGTTTTCTGGAAGTTGGAAAAAAACGTTTTGGTGCATTACTGCCACCAACTGGATAGAGTGTGAATTGGGAACTATAGCCTAATATTTAAAAAGAAAAAGAAAAAGAAAAAGAGGAATAACTAAATAATTTCTATGGAATTTGTTCTTATAAGATATTTAAATAAAAATGTAACACTTTTTTTCGTAAAATATCACTTATATCCAATTTCATACGCCTAATCTCATTTTCAGCTCCTCTCGGCCTCATACATTTGACAGTGAATGATAATACATTTTCTACTCCTATTGTTTCCTGTCGCATATTCCTGTAGGATCCTATGTGCCTAAAATGTAGTCTTGATATTATTGTTTCTTCTCTCCAGGTTCTCCAAGTATTTCTCATCTTATCAGTTTTCCTTTGTATTCTGTAGAACTACCTTCCTGTTGTCTTCTGTTCCTACTTCTTTTGCCACCTATTCTTCATCTTGTGTTTTATTATGGTCTTAATTTCCATTTTACTGTATGGTACTGTTCAATGTCAGGTAGGTAGGTAGGTACTTTATTAATCCTTAGCAGGAAATTACATCGTCACAGCAGCAACTGCAATCACAGTCAAGACACCAAACAAAAAGATCAGTTTTTAAAAACTAGACTAAAACTTCAGAGTTATACATAAAAGATATCCTAGAAATGTAATGAACTTTTAGTGCGCAAAAGTAACCAGTTTACAAGTGTATTTATAAATAAAAAATATGAGTACATGTATTCATTCATTCTCCATTAAACCGTCTGATGGCAGAGAAATTACTTTCTGTAACGCTTGTCAGACTTGACACAAACGGTAAATGCACAACTCCTTAAAAGGTTTGAAAGTTCAACAAAGTTTACTGACAAATGCTCAAAAAGAGAGTAGGCAGAGGTACAAAAATGTCAGGAAAAAAAACAGGGGCCATTTCTGAATTGTCACAGTTCAGTATGCAGTACTTTTCAGTGGGGAGTTTCAGTAGACTGAACCCTCCTGGTCATTCAGTGGTCATTTTTTGTGTCCACCTCAGTATACAGTGAACATTTCAGCATGGATACTAACTTCCTGGTTTAATGCAGTATGGATCGTAGTAATAGTAATAGTAATATAGTATAATAGTAATAGTACGTCACTTTCCTGTGCCATTCACTTTGCCATATTATTTTCAAGTTGGTTTGAATTATGATCACTTTTTAGCACAGCAAGTTTGAAAACGAAAAGCCAAAGACCTTTTTGTTTTCATTTGAATTATGTCATACAATATGCATACATAGAGAATAAAAGTATAATGCAAACTGGATGACTGAATATTCATTTTAAATATAGGTCAAATAATGCACCTATATTCTGAAAATTAAAACATGTTTCTGTGACTGCATTTTCATTTTAGAATTAGCTTATTCATTTGAATTATTATACAAATTAAGCGGAGCATTTTTTGAAAACGAAAAAGCAAATGTAATTTTCTTCTTAATTTTAATTTAGTCAAAGAATGTGCATTTTTGAAGTTGAAAACTAAAATTCAAATTAGATAAATTAGTCATCATTTTATTTTTGAGTCAAATAATTCACCCATATTCTGAAAATTAAAAAGCATTTCTGTTAATGGATTTTAATTTTCAAATTAGCTTCATCATTTGCATTCTGATCACTAATCGCTTCCATACAGGTTAGGACTGTAATGCTGGGTATGGATGGTAAGTGTTGTTCAGGTGATGTCGGTAAGAACACCAGTGAAGCAGTTTTCCATCTTGATTTGCCACCTTATTCCAGTATGCTTGAAATACAGATGGGTGGGTTTAGCATCTGTGCATGCCGCGTGTGGGTGTTTGTATGTGTGTATGGTCTGCAAGCAATAAAGGCAGAAATCAAACACTGTCTCTGGATTAATGTTTAATATTATTCTGTTGCTAATACAAAGTATACACTTATAACTGACAGTCATATAAACACACTATTAGCTTAAGTTACAAAATGTGCACCCACAGTAATAAGTAATCATATTAACAACACAGAAGATAAAGGAGGGTGCACCATAAGCATTGTTAGCAAACATAAAGCAAAGCAGTTACTAATAATTGTTTATGTTCTAGCTAGCAAGCTAATCGCTATCATCAATCAGCCTGTCGATGTCTGCTTTATTGTTTGTTCTTATGCATCTATATCGCTGCAGTTGTCAGTTTTTTAACAGTGTTGTTGTGTCGTTTGTGTTATATCCTAAGAGCCTTACAAAGGACAAAGACTACAAATTAGCCATGGTTCGGAGTCCTATATTTATTGCATCAATTAGATGTAACAAAGCGCTAATTGCTAGCACTAGAAAGTAAATGTGTTTTCATAAGTCGATGTGTTTTTTATCAGTCAATGTGTTCTTATAAGTCAATTGGTAATTATTCTAAGTGTTTTTATTCATCACTGTGTTCAGTTCTCAGTACGTTGTAGCTCCAAACTGAATCTGTGTGCTCTGAAGTTTCGATTTTTCTCAACCAGAAGGTCGAGGGCTCAATCCCCAGCTCCTGCAGCAACATGTCCAATGTGTCCATGGGCAAGAGACTTAACCCCAAGTTGCTCCCGCTGCTACATCTGCGGCGTATGAATGCGAAATTGCGAACGAATGGGATTAGTTTCTTCTGATGGTCTCACTACATAGCAACCACTGCCATCAGTGTGTGTTTTTGAACATATACTTGCAAGCTGTCAGTCACTGACACCCTCTGATGTCAAGAGGTGGAGCCCTGTGGTCAGTGTGCGTGTGGGACCATCTGGCTCAAAAGTCAGAACATTTTTGATCGTAGCTATGAGCATGGCTAACTTAAAGTTTACTATTACCTGCGCTGTGGCCATCAGTATGTAGCTTTGTTATTTACTCCTTTCGTTGCCATTGTGATAATGCTTCTGTTGCCTGTAATGTCTGTTTCTAAACACCGGAGGGCAGTATTGGACAGCTCACTGGGCAGAAAAGGTAAAGAAGGTTCAGCATCTTTGGCTCTGACATTTAGTGAGTAGTACTGAAATGTAGCACTGAAATCTGTGTTGTGATTAGGCCTAGTCAATATGAATAAAAGTTTTATCACGATAAAAATGTTCATACCAGTTGATATCAATAATTGTCACGATAAATGTCGAATCATTTTTTCTTCAAATTCCAAGGCTGATCTTTGCTCCTGAGTGAAAGTTGAAGAAACTAGATGTTTAATTGTTTCAAATGGGGAGAAAGTTTTGTGGTGTTGCCCGTTTTACCTGCACTTGTCTTCAGCACAGTTTACAGAGCACGATACTCTGTTAAAATCCAAAGATGAGCGTCCTTTCTTGTCGACGATGTTTTTCTCCTGCTTTGAGCCAGTAGGCTAAGTGTTCTTCTGTGTCACTATCGCTCATTTTGGCTGTTTCCATTCCGCTCCAAACATCTGTAAGCCTGCCTACCAATATCTCTGCGACATGATTGGCTGTTCTTTCTCTTTTTCTCTTTCTCTTTTATGTCTGGTGGCAACTAGCGGTTAATGCCCATTAGCGCCCCCCTTTCCCAGTGTTAGGGCGGTGTAATAACAGTTTTAAATCTATCAAACTTTTATTGAACAGTTTAATTTATATTGACAAAAATTATACCATGATAATTATCTCTTTCATTTTATCGCCCACACCTAGTTGTGATTGCCAGTAAATACTGGGTCGGTTGGTATCGGTTATAGATTTCTGTATCCATCCCTACTCTTCACATGTTGAAATTGTTTTATTTTCTGATTTAACGCTTAATTCATGTATACACATGTTTTAAACAGATCATTTTATTTTGCATTCAGTGATGCTGAGATTGCATTCATGTTCATACACATATAAAATATTATGTCTACTATTGGTGTGTGGACATTTTCAGTCTCCAGTTTGGCTTTCTGGCTCCTGATAATATTTCTTTTCGAGTCCGGGAGGAGCGAGGGATTAGCAAAAGTTGTTAGCATTAAACAGTTGAAGCAATATCCTTATTCTTAAGCTGGTGAGTTAACTTGATAGTAAGCTAAGCTAACAAACATTTGGACATTTTAACATGGGGCTCTATGGGGACCGACTCACTGCAGGAGAAAGACTCTAGTGGACACTAGAGGAACTGCAGCTGTAAAGTTAGACATTTTAACATGGGGCTCTACAGGGACTGACTCACTGCAGGAGACAGACTCTAGTGGACACTGGAGGAACTGCAGCTGTATAGTTAGACATTTTAACATGGGGCTCTACAGGGACTGACTCACTGCAGGAGAAAGACTCTAGTGGACACTGGAGGAACTGCAGCTGTATAGTTAGACATTTTAACATGGGGCTCTATGGGGACCGACTCACTGCAGGAGACAGATTCTAGTGGACACTGGAGGAACTGCAGCTGTAACGTTGGACATTTTAACATGGGGCTCTATGGGGACTGACTCACTGCAGGGGATAGACTCTAGTGGACACTGGAGGAACTGCAGCTGTAACGTTGGACATTTTAACATGGGGCTCTATGGGGACTGACTCACTGCAGGGGATAGACTCTAGTGGACACAAGAGCCACGTCCCATCTCTCCATATAAGGACATCCGATTGGTGCATCAGGACGAGAGCAGTGAGGTGGAGACACGTAGAAGTTGCAAGAGATGGCCCCAAAAGGCTAAAAGAGGGGTGTGTCTTGGGGTTTAGAGCTTGATTGTGAAATTTAATTTTAGATTAAAGAAGAATAATAAAGATGAAAAGTCATTTTTTGGTTAATTAAAACATTTAGTAATTGTAAATTCAAGTTTTTGATTGATGTCTATTAAACTGGACACATACTGTATATATAGATTCACCGGCCACTTTATCAGGTTCAGCTGCTTGTTATTGCAAATATCTCTTCAGCTAATCACATGTTAGCATCTCAATGCATTCAGGCATGTAGACTTGGTCAAGACGATCTGCTGAAGTTAAAACCGAGCATCAGAATGGGGAAGAAAGGTGATTTAAGTGACTTTGAAAGTGACATGGTTGTTGGTGCCAGACAGGTTGGTCTGCTATTCTACTCGGAATTTCATGCACAAACATCTCAAGGTTTTACAGAGAATAATCTGAGGTCAGAGGAGAAGGCCAGACTGGTTGGAGCTGATAGAAAGGCAACAGTAACTCTACTAATGTAGCATCATTTAAACGCCACAGCCTACCTGAGCATTGTTGCTGACCATGTCCATCCCTTTATGACCACAGTGTACCCATCTTCTGATGGATACTTCCAGCAGGATAACATGCCATGTCACAAAACTCATATTATATCAAACTGGTTCCTTTACCATGACAATGACTTCACTGTACTCAAATGGCTCCACAGTGACCAGATCTCAGTCCAGTAGAGCACCTTTGGGATGTGGTGTGATGCTATCATGTTAATATGGACCAAAATCTCTTCCAGCACCTTGTTGAACCTATGCCACAAAGAATTAAGTTCTGAAGGCAAAAGGGGGTCCAACCCGGTACTAGCAAGGTGTACCTAAGAAAGTGACCGATGAGTTGTCTTTTTATACTAAATGGAGTATTAATCTGTTGTACATTTAGTTAAAAGAATGTTTGTTAGCATTTTCTGAAAAAGCATGTTCTTCATCATTTGTGCCTACGCATGGGCTGAGGAAGTTCTAACTTTGTTCACAGTACTAAAGTTTAGTCCTTGACTAAAACAGCTTTTATACACAAGGGGAGGAGCCGGCTGTCCCGTCCACGTAAACCCGGCTCTGACAACAACACAGCCAGCGGGACTCAAGCTTCTCACTCATTGTAGACAGTCATGACTCAGAGAGACATTTAACCAGGGGAGACTTGAGTTCTGCTGTATTTATGAGTAAAATGTTGTACATTCTTTCTTTCAGTGATAAATTCAGTATACAGTATCAAAAGAAAGATTCTTGTGAGAACTGAGCTCATTGATCCCCAGCGTAGGATTTTGACACACACTCTGGATGGAGACAAATCACAGTCAGGACTCAGTGTGAAAGTCATGAGCCTTTGAGTCTGTCCAAGTCGCAGTGATAACAACCTGAGAAGACAAGGAAGAAGACAAACTATGATTGATTAAATTTTCCTCCAACTGAAACCATCTTTGACTCGTAGACTCTCTTCATTCTGTTGTTTGGTTTGACACACAGACCTGATCAGAAAATCTCTACCGTTGTCAGAACAGTTAACTTTATAATTCAAACATTAATTTCAGACCCAGCTCTTAATCTTACCCCCTTGGGTTAGGGTTAGGGGTCAGTAAATAGCAAAGTTTTGTCTTACCTAACTGGTCCACACCATGGTGATCAAGGCTGGGGCTCCCTCTAGGTACATATTCCTGGCAGATCTGCAATGTTTTGACGTACATACCTGGAAGTTTAAGACATCGAATTAGAAACATTGATTCTTTTATTTCACCTTTTGTGTCAGGGTTCTTCTGTCAGACCGTCTATATGTTCAATACTGAGAAAGTGAGCAGACAGAACTCCCCCGCCACATGTTCACCATTCTCATTTTTCTCTCAGGAGGCTTTTTGAAATGTTCCACTTGAATAAGCCTACAAACACTAGTTAAAGGATCAATAAGATAATAAAGTGACCTTACGATATGATCAGGCATTAAGGAAACATGCTATGTTGAAGTGCTGGCTTCTCTGACAACAATGCCAGTATGTCCTCCTTCTCACTTTAGATTCTGGTCCTGAATGCTCTGGATTTGTTTGGACCAGAGAAGGTAGGCGGGGAGACAGCTCTCTACAATGTTGAGAATTTAGACTGCAGTACCCATTTTAAACACTAGGGGTCAGAGTTACATACTGCTCCTTTAAGTCAGCGTATATAGATGCTCTGGAACACTGTAGAATAAAAGACAAACTTTAACTTGACCTCACAGGAGGTGCTCTCAGGACAGTTTGCATCTAGTCCTTCCTGATGTCTGGTTAATAGATACATTGCTTTCCTAAAGACCTGTTTTATGAAATAGATGTGCAAAGGATTTTTTTAGATTCCTACAAGTGAAATGTCATTAAGAGCTTCCGGGTGAAGAAAAAATTTGGTGACTGCTGCACAAAGTTCTCCACGGTGATGGAGTACACATTAAGCAGTTAACAACAAGACCAGCAAACAGAGCTCTTTGGTGCGATAGAGGCTCAGCACCAGTCTAATAACTGTTTACTGTTTTTTTCATCTGGAACTACCCTGGAGCTTGTACATGGTTAAGGTGTGATGACAGGAAAGGTCGTACAATTTATCTAACTGTTTTCCAGGGACAATCAGCTGGTTTCATGAGTGTGTGTGTGTGTGTGTGTGTGTGTGTGTGTGTGTGTGTGTGTGTAGAGGAGATTAGTACCGGGGCACAGCTCTTGTCCTTTTTGCCACACAGGTTGACTTTGCAATGCAGGAAGACATAACCATTGCTCTTGGAGAACTGGAACATGTTGAAGGACAAGACGCTGGACGTTCCTTCACTGTTACCCTCTACTTTCACTGACTTGTCTTTGGGGTTTGCACAGCTGCTCACAAACAGACACATTTATTAAATTTTTTTTGTTCTGATTCATTTTGAAACGCAGCAGACACCTCCACCTCTGCATGTGACTCACCCTGTTTTGATCAGGTCGTATTTCGGTAACTTATCAGATTCTTTGTTTTTGTTTGCCCAGCAGGAGTCAATCACCACGGCAACCAAATTACTATCCAGTCCTGTAGTCTTCAGTTCCACCCAAATCTTCTGGTTCAATGTAACCGACGTTGCAGTTTGTTGGAGGCCAGTATCGCTGTAGGCCTTCATGGTCAGATTGTATTGCCAAATTCCAGATTTCATCTCTGATACCACAGAGCTGCAAAGCACAAACACACACAACTGTTTGTACTCAGAAACATCCAATCAAGTATTCTAATCCAACGGTATCAGCCACCCCTCACCTGCTTTGGATCTTGAAAGACATAGTCTTGATTGGTGGTTGAGCATAGCTGCAAGAAAAGTTAAGTGCCACTTCATCCGGATAATCGAGCCGTTGCTTTCTGACGTACTAATGATGTTCGTGTAGATAACCTGTGTATCGCTATCCTGCAGGGTCACAGGGAATTAGATGTTAGGTTGATAGTGGCTGAATAGAAAAAGCTCAAAAGATCCCTTAACCAAACTAAGAAGCAAAAGGTCAACACTAAAGCCAACCCCACAGGAAGACCCCAAACTAGAGAGAGAACCTCTGCTGAAGTGAACCCACCATGACCTCTGCCTTGCACATTTCAGTGTTGTTGAAACTGAAGGTCACCATGCCGTCTTGCAATTCACCCTTGCATTTTGGGTCTTTGAGGTGTAAGGTTGTGTAGTCGAAGCCTCTTTCCATCAGGAGACAGTTTATCAAAGAAACTGAAGCAGAGTTCCTATAGCAGGTGGTGGCATCCCCTGTGAATTCAGCAGCACCGACATGTTACACTGATCAAGTTACACAGGAGAAACTCCAAATACATTTGAAACACAACAAGTCCACCTGTCTTTCTTCAAATCAGAGATTCTGCTGCAGTAGACATACAAGTTGAGACCAAAGATGATAAGCAGCAGAAGACACAATGGTCAAATCATCTCTGATTTCAAGAAGTCAAGTCTGTTCCTCGGAAAACATCAGAGTGCCAGTGTGTGACAGGACTTTCCTTCAGCCTCTGAGGATCAATACCCTGCACAAGTCAAACCTTCACTGCTGTCTTACCGAAAGTTTTATTTTGTCTGTACGGGGCTGCGAAACCAAAGTGACATAAGCAACCCAAGCCATTAGCTTCCGTCTCACCACAGAACTCGTGAGAAGCACAGACCTTGTCCGGACAGAAGATCTCATGGGTGGTGGCTAAGAGAGAAACAGAACAAAAGACATGTAAGGGATAACAACAGACTTTTGTGATTAAATGAAATACAAAATTAGAGGTCTTCTTGAAAACTGTTCATCAGGTGGACTCCATCAGGTGGAATACTGCCCAGCACCTATTGTGTGCAGTCATTTGGAGGAAGAGGTTTTGAGAGAGTTAATGGACGCGAGGCAAATGGTGCAAATTAAACCGCTTTGGAGCTACGAATAGTTTAAATTCTCTTCCATCACAGTGAAAATTGTGCACTATTTGTTTAACTCACAAATACAAGAGACCACAGCATTTTGCCTGTTTGTCTTTCTCTAAACTTAAAATAAACCCCCCCCAAAAAGTTTGGAAACATTATTTTGGTCACTTATTTTGCCCCTTTAATAATACTAATTGGTGTTGTATGTTATATTGTTGGAAAGCCTGATTAGTCACCTTTACAACGAGGTATAACTTGTAAGGATCGTGCATTCATGGAATGAGCAACACAGCTAAACGTGTGGGTAGAAAATGTTCCAAAATCCCCTGCAATGTTCTTCTGTTGGTATTAACTCCTGTTTTGAGCTTCAAGTACTGCTTGCATATAATGAGAGTCTCTTCCTCTCCTTTGTTTAAAGCTTTTGTTATTATATTGATCATAAAAATAAAGAACATTGTACTGCTTGTAACACATGGCAATAAAAGTATCAAAGTAATGCTAATTTTTACAATCTTAATCAGGAAAGTGTCAGGATTGTGGGATTTGGAGATCATGGAAGAGTCCTTACCTGCCATCCGATGCGATCTTCTCATCTACACAGAGTGATGTTGGCTCTGTCTGTCTGTCTGTCTGTCTGTCTGTCTGTGTATCAGGGTTAACCTGATAAAATGGTTTAGATAAACTTGTATCTCTGTCTTCTGGGTCCTTCCACGTTCTTAAAGAGACTTTGAAAGTCAAAAGAGAATATCCAGACTTTTCACTCCAACCTGTTCAGCTATGAACATCAGTTTATCATCTTAAGCAGTTCAGTTCCTTTGTGTCTTGTTCCCTAAAGAGCTGACTTTAATCTACAATACAAGTTAAGTTTATTTACCATGGAGGTGGATCTGAGCAGTGTAGCCATCAAAGTAGACAGAGGCATTCAAAGTATTTGTTTGAAAGAAGACGGTGACTCCTTTTTCATTCTTAGAGATTTCCAGGGAGCTGAAGACTTTTGGAGTAGTTAGGTTTAGAACTTGATCTCCTGCCTGCATAAAAAGTGAAGAAAAAATAAGTTAACACACTCTAAAACCACACTCTGTCTTTTTCTGAGAGTCTGTGAAGATAAAACAACAGAGATGTAGCTGTAGATTTCTTACCTTGACTCTTCCACCTTGCTCCAGGTGCAGACCCAGGTGGTCTTATGACCACCGTGTCCAAAAAGCTCACATCTGTGCGTCGGAGTGTCCCAGAGTTTCCCTCTACTGCGATAAAACTGGGTTTTGAAATTGAAAACAACTTGTAATCACACTGATCTGTGATGTTGCCAGTTGAGCCATCGGCTGAAATGATGGAGGGTCCGGTGAAAGTGCAGATGGCATCAAATATGCATCTGATGGAAACAAAGAGGGACAGAAAGAACAAGAAACATCATCATAAGCCGCTGCTGAAATTCCTCCAGTGTCCACTAGAGTCTGTATCCTGCAGTGAGTCAGTCCCCATAGAGCCCCATGTTAAAATGTCCAACTTTACAGCTGCAGTTCCTCCAGTGTCCACTAGAGTCTGTATCCTGCAGTGAGTCAGTCCCCATAGAGCCCCATGTTAAAATGTCCAACTTAAGAGCTGCAGTTCCTCCAGTGTCCACTAGAGTCTGTCTCCTGCAGTGAGTCAGTCCCCATAGAGCCCCATGTTAAAATGTCCAACTTTACAGCTGCAGTTCCTCCAGTGTCCACTAGAATCTGTCCTCTGCAGTGAGTCGGTCCCCATAGAGCCCCATGTTAAAATGTCCAACTTTACAACTGCAGTTCCTCCAGTGTCCCTAGAGTCTGTCCCCTGCAGTGAGTCGGTCCCCATAGAGCCCCATGTTAAAATGTCTAACTTTACAGCTGCAGTTCCTCCACTGTCCACTAGAGTCTGTCCCCTGCAGTGAGTCGGTCCCCATAGAGCCCCATGTTAAAATGTCTAACTTTACAGCTGCAGTTCCTCCACTGTCCACTAGAGTCTATCCCCTGCAGTGAGTCAGTCCCCATAGAGCCCCATGTTAAAATGTCCAACGTTACAGCTGCAGTTCCTCCAGTGTCCACTAGAGTCTGTCTCCAGCAGTGAGTCAGTCCCCATAGAGCCCCATGTTAAAATGTCCAACTTTACAGCTGCAGTTCCTCCAGTGTCCACTAGAGTCTGTATCCTGCAGTGAGTCAGTCCCCATAGAGCCCCATGTTAAAATTTCCAACTTAAGAGCTGCAGTTCCTCCAGTGTCCACTAGAGTCTGTCTCCTGCAGTGAGTCAGTCCCCATAGAGCCCCATGTTAAAATGTCCAACTTTACAGCTGCAGTTCCTCCAGTGTCCACTAGAATATGTCCTCTGCAGTGAGTCAGTCCCCATAGAGCCCCATGTTAAAATGTCCAACTTTACAACTGCAGTTCCTCCAGTGTCCCCTAGAGTTTGTCACCTGCAGTGAGTCAGTCCCCATAGAGCCCCATGTTAAAATGTCTAACTTTACAGCTGCAGTTCCTCCACTGTCCACTAGAGTCTATCCCCTGCAGTGAGTCAGTCCCCATAGAGCCCCATGTTAAAATGTCCAACTTTACAGCTGCAGTTCCTCCAGTGTCCACTAGTGTGTGTGTGTGTGTGTGTGTGTGTGTGTGTGTGTGTGTGTGAACCATATGTGTAGGTGAAAGCTAGTTAGCTAAGCTTACTATCAATCTAACTAACCAGCTAAAGTATAAGGATTGTACACCAACTGTTTTAATGCTATCAACTTTTGCAACCCTCTGAATCCTCTCGGTCTCCAAAAGCATGTAAAAGACGTTACAGGCAACAGAAGCATTCTCACAATGGTATATACAAGAGTAAACATCTACACTGCACATTGATGGCAGCAGGTAAAAGTTAGCTTGGAATTAGCTTGAAACTACCAGGCACAATCTGGCATTAGAGCCAGACGGTTCTACACGCAGACTGACCACCAGTGGCGGACTTAACCATTAAGCATAGACAGGAAATTAACTTGGGCCCCCAGGGTCTGCAGGAGCCCCATAAAATGCCCTAAAAAAATCATGTTCAAGAATTTTTGTATTTGTTTTTTTTACATTGTGGAAAATAATAACAAAACCCAAAATGTCATCAGAAGACAACAGCACTGTAAAACAGACAACACACGATACAACAACACTTTAAAACAGACAAACATGATACAACAACACTATAAAACAGATAACACACAAGATACAACAACACTGTAAAAGAGACAACACACATGACACAACAACACTGTAAAAGAGACAAAACACATGATACAACAATACTGTAAAACAGACAACACACGACACAACAACACTGTAAAACAGATAACACACAAGATACAACAACACTGTAAAAGAGACAACACACATGATACAACAACACTGTAAAACAGACAACACACATGACACAACAACACTGTAAAACAGACAACACACATGATACAACAACACTGTAAAAGAGACAACACACATGACACAACAACACTGTAAAACAGACAACACACATGATACAACAACACTGTAAAACAGACAAACATAACACAACAGCACTGTAAAACAGACAACACACATGATCCAACAACACTATAAAACAGATAACACACAAGATACAACAACACTGTAAAAGAGACAACACACGATACAACACTGTAAAACAGACAACACACATGACACAACACTGTAAAACAGACAACACACAAGATACAACAGCACTGTAAAACAAACAACACAGATGATACAACAGCATTGTAAAACAGACAACACATGTGATACAACAGCACTGTAAAACAGCTAACACACATGATACAACAGCACTGTAAAACAGATAACACACAAGATACAACAACACTGTAAAACAGACAACACACATGTTTGTGTTCTTAATATCAAGTACTCATATTTATTTGTTCTCTTGGCAGGTCTGATATCTTCTACAGTCTTTCACTGAAAGAAATCCAGGACTTCCACATCGTTTTCTACTCTACACGTGAATTTGTCCCTTAAACAGCACTGTGTGTCTAAATGAAAGAGGGGAATATGTGTTTAAAAAGTCATTGTCACTCATTTGAGCAAAAAGAAATCAATGATTAAAAGTTACAAACTTGAGCCTCTGCACGAGCTGGTGTCTGCCCCAGAATCAACATTGATTGTTTTGTTAACAAATGTTCTGCCACCTACAAGAAATTCATACTCCTGGACAGGGACAAACAGAGCATCATTACCATCACAGAGCAGAGACAGGGGGAGGCCGAACTATGAAGCAAAATCAGGGTCAGTCCACTTCTTAGAGTCACTATGATGGCTCTCTATGAACCTGGCATAGCTGCTGCAAAGCTAACGTGCCTCTGAGGGAGGTTAACATTCAGACACACACACACACACACACACACACACACACACACACACACACACACACACGGACAAAGACAAAGAAGCTTAAATTTGAAGACGTCAAACTATCAGTCAATCAATTTTTCCTGTATTTCTCTATTTATATTTCTCACCTTCATCGCCTCTAGTTTTTTGCCATCTGCTTGGTGTGTGGGAGCCTTAA